AAAAATGCGCAAAATGTTACTATATATAATGTAATTTTCACTGTTACATTACTATAAATAATTAAAATACAGTTACCGAATTTTCTAGGAAAATTTAATAGATAAAGTAACCATATTTTATCTTGTGGTTGGTTTTCAGAACGTAGGTAAGAAATTACCACGTCCGTAATAGAGTGGTTGTAGTTTACGTATTTGGTAATAGTATTACTAATTTATTCATTTAATATGACAATATATTTGGAAATTTATACCTTCCGTTATATTTCAACATCGGAATGTTAATTCCAGACAATTGTTCCATTTACTTTATGAGACATTTATCGGTCTCATAAAGTGACATTCTGCAGACCTCGAGAAACAAAAAGAAGCGTGGAAAGACCCAAAAAGAGATGGATAGACGATATAACAGCTGTAGCTGAAAAGTAATGGATGAGAATTTCAAAAGATAGTGAAGCGTGAAAGCAATTGGAGGAGGCCTATGTCCAACAATGGATAAATGAAGGCTGAAGAAGAAGAGTTCCATTTACCCTTTTTAAATAATATAATTAAGTTTCCTCACTAGAGGCCTCTAGTAGCATACTCTGGCAATTATGTTTACTATAATTGCCTTAGTAGTCGGTGCGTTTTGATTTGGTTTGAGTCTTCTTACAAACTCCTTCTGATGACGGGTAGACCCAGAAACACGTGTCAGGGAGTGGTAAGAGACTCAAATTAAATCGAAACGCAACCGTCATTTATTTTATAATTAAGTTTAGTCGAGTTCAGTTGTCTTTGTCATCTGCATAACCTATGTTGTTAATATTTCTTCCGTTAATTATTATTGCTTCACTTTTAGATAGTAATGCTTCTTTAAAAATAGATTCGCTATATACCTACATTGAATAGTAATTGAGACATAATACATCACTTGCCTAACTCCTCTCCTGATTTAAATTTCTGAACTGGTTTCGTTATCTATTACAATTTGTGCTCTTTGATTCCAATAAAGATTTATTCTTATACCTTTAAGTCCTTTTTTCAATTTTTTTGTCTTCAGAATTTGGACTAATTTTGTCAAATGCTGTTATTTCAAGAATAATTTGAGAACATGACTTATTAATAATATTGTTTTGAATTCACTACAGTCTAGCGTTTTTTTTTGTTATTTTATATGTTCTGTTTTGTATATTGTGTTAAACAAGTCTATAATATCTAAGGTTTCATTATTTATACATTTTAAGCTTTCTATTGGGATATAATATTACTTGGACCTTTAGGGATGACAGAGTTCCTAAAACTTGTCCACTACTGAGAAAAGAAAAATTTTAACCGTGGTAGTTTCGCTTCATGTATAGACATCGATCATGGTATTTTTTTTCTTAAAGTGGGTAGACAATAACGTTGTGGCTGCCGCATCTACTGCTTATAATATATAGCAAAAAGAAAAAAATATATGCAAGACCGCAAACCATTGCCAAATATAACAATAATATGGGAGGAACCGATTTGATAGACCAAAACATATGTACATATAGAATTGGAATCTGTTCAAAAAAGTGCTGGTGATGTATCTTCATATGGCTCCGTTGGGATTTGGTCTGGCTTTGCCAATTTTGCTGTTTTTTAATACCATTTTAATTTGTTCTTTTAATTTTCTCTTTTAATATCTTTTGTATCTGGCTGGTGTCAGAATTTCTTTTTGACTTTTATCTATTTCTGTCTCTAAGTGCCATTTTGTATCCGTTTTAGAATTTGTGCAGAATTTGTACTTTAACATTCATTAATGAATATTGATTTGATCTGTCAGGAGTGGGTTCCTTAATTTACTTGTATTGATTTTTTAATCTGTTGTTTTTCGGTTTATCACTGGGGTATATGAGGAATTCTACAAAAATTCGCACCTTAACTGGAGCCAAATATGGTGATATTGCAATTTGCTGCCCGTACCCCGCAGTAACAATTTTTTTTCTGTAGGTTGATACCAAAAAGCATGTTTTCAGGTGCGAGCCTCAAAAAAAAGGCAAATTTAAGTTTTTTCCAGCAAAAAAACTGATTTTTTCGCTAAAGCTATTTCATTCTTCTAGCGATCTGCCTCGAAAAACGAGTGAAAGAGACTTCTATACTTGGAGCACACGTACATATCAGGTACCAATCGCTTTGTCTTCGTCTCCAGAAGGAACTCTGACCCTTTGAAAAGCCAAGAAACACCTGCTCAAAGCGTGGCAAGCGGTTATTCAGTCCCTAAAATCGACGTTTTTTTTTTTTATTTTTTCGCGATTTTACCCGAAAATAGATTAAAAGATACCTCTATAGTTGGAGCACACATACATATTAGGTACCAATCGCTTCGACTTGATCCCCAGAATGAATTCTGACCCTTTGAAGAGCCAAGAAACACCTGCTCAAAGCGTGGCAAGCGGTTATTTTTTGGTTCATGCTTTGAGCTTTTTTTTGGTTCATCAAAGCGTCAGAGTTCATTCTGGGGACCAAGTCGAAGCGATTGGTACCTAATATGTATGTGTGCTCCAACTATAGAGGTATCTTTTAATGCATTTTCGGGTAAAGTCGCGAAAAAATGAAAAAAAAAAAACGTCGATTTTAGTGACTGAATAACCGCTTGCCACGCTTTGATCAGGTGTTTCTTGGCCCTTCAAAGGGTCAGAATTCATTCTGGGGATCAAGACAAAGCGATTGGTACCTAATATGTATGTGTGCTCCAACTATAGAGGTATCTTTTAATCTATTTTCGGATAAAATTGCGAAAAAATGAAAAAAACGTCGATTTTAGGGACTGAATAACCGTTTGCCACGCTTTGAGCAGGTGTTTCTTGGCTCTTCAAAGGGTCAGAGTTCGTTCTGGAGACCAAGACAAAGTGATTGGTACCTGATATGTACGTGTGCTCCAAGTATAGAAGTCTCTTTCACTCGTTTTTCGAGGCAGATCACTAGAAGAATGAAATAGTTTTAGCGAACAAATCAGTTTTTTGTTGGAAAAAACTTAAAGTTGCCTTTTTTTTGAGGCTCGTACCTGAAAACATGTTTTTGGTATCAACCTACAGAAAAAAATTGTTACTGCTGGGTACGGGCAGCAAATTGCAATATCACTATATTTGGCTCCAGTTAAGGTGCGAATTTTTGTAGAATTCCTCATATACTGGGTTGTGATCTGATCTCATGGTGCCACTCGGATATGTTTTTGCTAATATAATTGCGTTTGTATCTTTGTCTAACTAATACATAGTCTATTTGGTTTCTTAAAATTCTCTCTTCTTTGATCTACAGGTGACTTCCATGTTACAGTCTTCTTTTTGGCAGTTTAAACAATGTATTCGCTATAACAAAATTATTGTGTTTGCAAAATTTGATAAGCCTGTCACCCATTTCGTTTCTGTTTCTTAGACCGTATCGTCCTGTACATTCTCTTACTTTTTCTTCCCCAACCTTTGCGTAAAGTCTGTCGTTATAATGGTAATATCCTGCGTTTTAGTGGATTTTAAAATAAACGCATCAAAAATGTCTAAGGAACACAAAGTTTTTTCTCCTATATACATCAATTTTGATCGGATTTTTAAAAAGACATACCGGTATAATCAGTCGGCAATGAAATCAGCTCAATTTTAGTTTACTATGATTTATTTATGATGAAATAATCAAAGAAGAGTTAAGAACTGCACCAATTTAAAGGAAAAAAAGGAAAAATCAATATAAAACATAAAAATCTAACACAAAATGTGTTTAATAATCTGTGTTTTCTTCAGCAGTATTAATTACAGCTGACACCTCCTTGGCATTCTTAAAATTAAATTGTCAACTTCGTTTTGCGGCAATACGTTCCATTCTTGTTCTATACGATATTGAAGACCTTGTCTAGTATAAACATTGTGCAGACGAGGAGCAATCTATCTCTGAAGCATATCCCATACATGATCGATGGGATTAAGAACTGGCGATTGTCCTGGTCATGGTAAGAGTGTAATATCGTCATTATGAAACCAATCTCTTACAGTTGCTGCAGTATGTGGCCTTGTATTATCCCGCAAGTAACGCAAATCAGGACCTACAGCAGTATAAAATGGAAGGAAAGTTCTAAGATACGATCAATATATTGATATTGATTCAAAGTGCCTTCTATAAAAACGAGAACAGTTCGATGATGAAAAATGATTCCAGCCCACATCATAACTTGTACCGCTATATGAATGAACACCCTGTACATGCTTGAGTCTCTCTTGTCGACCAAGTCCTCTCCAAACTCTTACTCTTCTTTAATCAGTTTAGAGACAAACCCTAGCTTCATCTGTGACTAACACAGAACTCCATTCTTATAATCCCCACTGCACGTGTTCTGGTGTCCACCTTAATCTGAGTCCACGATCTCCATGAAGTAACATGGAAACCCTCACTGGACGTCTGGTGTGCAGGTAAGTTTCATAGAAATTATTTCTTAAAGTTTTGTCACATACGGTAATATTGTGGCTATTTTCTAAGGACTCATAGAGTCCACGTGTATTTATATGCACGTATATATTTGGACGAGCTAATCGTACAATATACCCATCATGTCGAGGAGTAATTTCTCATTGAAGACCCCCATGTCTTTCAGCGACATTAATAAATTGTTCATATCGACGCCACAATACGACAGTATCGTAATATTTGTAATGTCCTGGTAATTGTTTATATTTTAAATTATACGTCCCGAATATACCTTTCATTACATGACATTTGAAAAAAAAGTGTTTCCAATCTAAATGGGTCGTACTGTATGTATAGGAAATATTCGGATGCAATATATATAACTGATATTTACATCAAAATAATTAAAATGACATATTTTTGATAGGGTATTTTTGTTTTTTTAATTAATAGTAATAATGGAAATAGTCTGACAGTGAAAGTTACAGTTTTACATTATTGTACATTTGTAATATAGCTTATTTAAATTTCAAAGTGTAGATATTTGGTGCTGGTATTTTAATCGTTTATAAATTTGGTATCCCATCTAACTGACTTTTTTCCAGTTTGCACATGCGTTGTTCACAAGCGATGCCATCATACAGTTGTTACAAAATGTCCTGGGATGCAGGATGAGGTAAGGTCCTATTTTTTGCTGTTTATTTTCAGGACAATAATACATTGGAGTAGTTTGTAGATGATTTTAATAATGCATATTTCAAGTTATCAACACACTTAAAACTCTGCTCATCTTTTGACAATGTATTCGTTAGACACACCAAGAATAAACTTTCACATCAAATTGCCCACCCTTGTCAGCAACATTAAAAGACAACCTTGTTCTTGAAATTTTCAATTCATGATTCCTTTTATCCTTTATCTGAGGTTTCATCAAAAGTGACTATCTACATATTTTGTAATTTTTCACAAAGTTGACACACCTTGAGTAAACATGTCAAAAGTAAAGTTTTCTGCATGCTTACGCTATAAGCGTATTATATACCTATAGCAAATCAAAGCTTCCCTGTTCACGGGAATTGCTTTACCTAAATCAATTACATATTCCACAGTTTCCAATTCTGATTCGTATTTTCCTTAAAATAACCAATTTAATACGATTTTCTTTTTGTTTCGTAGTCAAGTAGTCAACACCAAAGCACCGGATTCAATGTAAATGTACCACATCGGTTTGTAGTTCACAGCTACAAACGTTTTACATTCTGTGATCATTGTGGATCACTCTTATATGGACTGATTAGACAAGGACTTCAGTGCGAAGCTTGTTCGTTAAACGTACACAAGCGGTGCCAGAAGAATGTGGCGAACAATTGCGGAATCAACACTAAACAGATGGCCGAGATTCTTACGCAAATTGGTAAGTACAGATAAAAATAGTATGGTAACATAATATATTGGAGATGTAGTGTACACGTAATGTGGCAACAGTGTTATATGTCGCCTGACGTACACAACATCTCGTAGATCACTTAACTCGTTGACTGCCAAGCACGAGTTAACTCGTGGTTGGCTGTCTGTTCTTAGACGCCAACCACGAGTTATCTCGTTTTTGTAGATGTTTTTCGTGGCGCCGAGCACGAGATTATTCGTGGGATATGCATGGAGATTTTATATTGGGTCTATCAATACAATATTGGGGACAAAAGGTTAGTAAAATATTGGTGGACATCAGAAAACAGATATATTTATTATTTTTGGTTATGGTAAAAGGGCAAAAACTAAAAATTTCAAAATGAAAATAGGCTTTTCTTTACATTCACCACATCTATATCTTGTTTCTCGACGACGATTACGAGTGGTACATATCCGGCCAGCTCTTGTTGATCGTTGTTTCTTTTCTGTTGGTGGTATACTTTCAAGGTAATGAAATTTTGTTGGAGGATTTGGTCTAGCTTTTGGCATATTACATGTTCAAAAATGTTCAAAAATGCATTAGAAAAAACAAGTTAACCAGATTGTCGATAGTCAGTTCACCTTGATGTTTTAGCGCAACATCTTGTGTAAAAAAACCAAAAGTTGGTGGGTTATTCTCAACATCACACCATTCTTCTTCGTTCTATATTTCAGCAGTTGGCCCTAGAGTAGGTTGTGACAAACGGCTCTCGTCGCCTGCTGTTGAACTTCAGACTCATTTATGTTCGCATAATTCTCGAGTTCCTCTGAAGTGAAGCCTCGTTTTCTTGACATTATTTATAAAAAACGCGAAAACTAAAACGAATTCACCAATAAAACACACAAAAGACGCACAGCTGTATCGCACGCCAACTCAACAGAGATACTATGATATTAAACACGTGGTTCTGCAGACTCGGCTGTCCTACCAGAGGTTTGACGGCGACAACGGCCAAAAACTACCGGAATCTCTAAAGCGCACGTAAAAATTGTTTCGAGATATCTCGTGGTTGGGCGTCAGAATACCCATTCTGATCGAGGACGCCCGACCACGAGATATCTCGGAAACAATTTTTTACAAAAAAAATGAGGGGAAAGCACGCGAAAATGTTAAAAATAAAGTTTTTCAGCATATTTGATTCATTATTTTGATTTTCATATCGTGGCGTCCTAGATCCGTTTCCTTGACAGTGCCTTGGCAGCCAACGAGTTAAACACATATTACACTTATACACTGTACATTTTCTTTATGTCAGTTATATTAATCAAAGACAACAGAGTTATACGTGCTGTGTGATTTATATAAAAAAAGTCTTGTAGATCACCTTAACACATACTAGAAGTAGTATACCAACAATGTACAATTTCTATAACAGTCATTCAGTAATAATACATTTTGTAATATTACTTACATAAATTTGTTTAATTTTGTTACAATTCATCAAAATTAGTAAATTAAACACGAAATTCTAGTTGTTTATTTTGTAATTTCTTTATTCTAATATATGTTCACCATCTACCAATAGAAACATTGTTTTGTCTTTATGTACACACTTTATTTGTACATACATTATTTATTATGAGACACGAGCCTGAAAAATCTCTTAAAAATTTTTTTCTCTTAATTGGTGTTTAGTGTTTTGCCCAATGGCAGAAGAAGTATCTGACGACCGCGCAAAAGATGGAGTGACACTTTCATAGAGGTATTAATCCGCCAATGAACATGCAGACTGGCTTATAAAGAGGAAGAAGAAGAATGGGTGTTTAAACAAAAATCACATGGGAAGAAATTAATAGGAGGTCGTAACAGAGAATGACAAGGACGATCAACGTTAATTATTATTTAAACGAGGGAAATCTAAGATATTGTATTACTTATTTCTGGATAAGTCTCGATATGTGGCAAAACTCGTTTATTTGCTTATGTAAGATAATAAATACAACTTAGACATTATTTTATAAGGGATTAAACCACAATGTATTGTAATGAGAATTACATTTTACATTTGATTCAACGTTTGGATTTCCAATAGTGAAATAGTTTCCAAAAAATTCTTAAATAAAAATTATGAACCTTACAAGAATAAAACTCCAACTAACGTTGTTAGTTACACAGCATTGTGCGAATTAATGGAATCATTGTGACATTTTTCAAGTTGGCAACACTGTCCACACATTTACAACTGAGCAAGCATTGAAAACATAACCTTACTTTTTTCTGCCTTTTATTAGAGGCTGTTTTAGGACATTTTCTGTTAAGTTTGTGTTGTTTTGTTTTATTTTGTGTTGTTTTCGATAAAAAGTGAGTTTTTTCTCACTTATATGTCACAAAGAGAAATCGGAAGAACGTGTGGAGTAAGTCAGGGGGTAGTTAGCAAGATTTTAAGGCGTAAACGAGAAATGGAATCAATGGATATGAAAAGGTTAGGAAAATGCGGAAGAAAGAGAAAAATAACACCAGCAGATGAAAGATTTTTACTTCGAAACACCAAAATGGGACCCAAGAAAAACAAGTCAAGAGCTCCAACGAGATCTAGCGGCATCAGTTGTAGTGATTCATGTCTCAACTGTTCGGAAAAGACTTTTGAAGAACGGTAGAAGGGCAGTGCGTCCACAGAAAAAACAGCTTCTAACTGAACAGATGAAGAAGGAAAGGCTATTGTGCGCCAAAAAATACCCTAATTGTACTGTAGACGAGTAGAGAAAATTCCTATTTACAGATGAAACTCATTTTATAGTTCAGGGACAGCGGTCGAAATTTGTCCAGAATTCTGACAATGAAAACCTTACACCCTCTTATATTGATCAAACCGTAAAACATCCAGTCAAAAAATTGTTTTGGGGATGTTTTTTATACATGGGGGTTGGATCTTTGGTACCAATCAAAGGCATGATTGAGCAGCCAAAAATGTCAGCCACAAGGAGGAGCGATTCTTCAACAGGGTTCTGCTCCCTGTCACAAGTCAAAGCAAATGATGGAATGCTTCGCCAATTTAATATAACATGATAATTTCACTAAAAAAGATAAAATGCATGGTTGTAACATCAAATCTAATCAGATGTAAACTGGAAATAGAGGAACAAATAATAGAATAAGTGATGGAGTTTAAATATCTGGACATACGGAAATGTCTAACTACGGAAAGCTCGAAAGAAAAGTGGAACACTAAATAAATAGAGCAAACAGCTGCAGGAATCCTTCTAAATGAAACAATATGGAGGAATAAAAATATCAGGAAAGAAATTAAAGGCAGAATTTATAAAACCGTCATCAGACGAATAATGACATACGCAGCAGAAAGACGACCCGACACAGAGACAACAAAAAGAATGCTAGAAATAATAGAATTGAAAACACTTAGAAAAATTGATGACACATTGTAAGACACTCTTGAACAGAGCTAGAAGTACATATATAAGCGGAGATGGAAAGTGGAGAACATCAAAGACTGGATAATAAAGAGACGAATAGAATGGAACAATAATATAAGCAGAAAGACAACAAATAATGTAGTAGTAAAGGAATATAGTAGACAATATAATGTAGTAGACAATAGGAAGACGATCAGTAGGAAGAACACGGAAACGGTTAAACGACAACCTCTGGAGTCGTATTGAATACATAAAAAGAAGAAGATATTTGACGCAATCCTACAGGCTGGAATAGTCATAATCATGCAACTATACATTTTTCAAAAATATAAAATCCCAAATATTTAAAACATACTTATTATTCATTAAATTAGAATAATAAATTAAGCTTTATATTAATCTTTAGCAAATATGAGCAGGCAAAATTTTTTTTTAATTGTTAAATATTACTTACGTAATCTTACTGACAATTTAACAAAATCTTGATAATCATTGGAAGCGCGTTTTAATTGCCCTAATATTTTTGTGTAAATTAGATTTTTGTACGTGGTTAAATATTATTATGAACGAGTAACACAAGAATTTTTATTTGTAGTTAAGTGAATAAAATAACTAAACAGATTACAGCAGAAATAAATGATACTTTGGTAATTTTATAACAATCATCATAATTCTCCTATTCGCGATTATAATACCATTATTCATCTCCTGCAGAAAAATATGTCGTCTTGACTGTCTCCCTCCAAGTTTTTCTTCGATCTTTTCTGTTCTGTTTTTGTTGCCAAGGTTGGCAATATTTTAACAATATTGCCAGCTGAACAGGTCTCTCTATAGGTTATTATAATATCATCACCATAAGATTTACACTATTGAAAACATTTTATAAATCTGCAGTAATAAAATCAATAATTGGTAATTAATCGCAATTATTGTTTGTAAATTAATTATTTATATATAAATAACGTTACCATAGTATTTATGTATTACAAATAGATTTGTTGACAGTTCAATATTTGGATATTTTTAAAAACACATACAGTGGTTCACACATCGAGTTAGAATCTATGGAGAAGCTATGAGCATATTAACGTATGTATTAAAAACGGCATAGGTAGGAGTGGCTAACTATATTACCAATATGGCGGTGACATCAGGCTATACAAATATGACTAGTTATTCAGAAGATTTAATCATAATCTAAAAAAGTGCAATACATTTTTAATAAACTATGATTTATTTATCCCGCGGTAAACACTAAAAACACGATATATTATATATAAAGATAAATGAATACAGTCAAATTGTGTTAATTTATTCTCTGAAGTACGGGCCATTACTTTGTTTACATATTTGTATACTAACCTGTGGAACGATATTCCTGAAGATTTTTTATTAACATTACTTCGGCTACTGCAACTACGTTGAAAACAAGAAACCATTATTATGCACTATCACAATATATTACAGTTTCTATAAAATTATTATAAAACTGAACATATTCGAAAAACAACAAATATAACCAAATATATACGATCTGTCAAAAGTTTCAAAACAATAATACCAATATGGCCGAAGTTAGGTCGTTTTCAGTCACGTGATGCCCTCTC